AGTTTAGTCGGAAAAGGGTTTGAGTTTAACCACCTTGCTTTGAATTGACCTCTTTATTAAAGTACACATAATCCTTTTAATGTTAACACAATGAAAAAAAAATACACACATAAAAAATAACTAAAGGAATCATCTCACTGAGAAAGCAACCATGACGAAGCTGCCCCATCATGCTACGGTTAAGAAGCGGCTAGCCTGGAGCAGGTATCACTGGACAGTGATCCAGCATCGGTCTTCATGCACACCCCTACATCAAGTCCGCCAGCCCTCAGAGCAAGCTGCCATGACCGCATCACTTAGGTCGAGATGGTCAAGGACACGGGGTCGCGGACATTTTTTTTCAACATGAAGCCCGTCTCACAAGGACAACCACATGTCCCTGTTGGCTACAGCCTCCACGAAGGGAGGTCTGGCACAGACAGAGGCCCAGGTGGCTACGAACTAGCACGCCTTGAGATACCTGCATGAAAACCGCGGGTAGAGTGATGGAGGTTAATGGGCTCTATTATCAAGGGATATGACAGGTTGCTATGGGCCAGGGAAGCAGGGGCTTTTGTTTGAGCGACTAAACTTCGCTTCTTTCGTATGTACTTTTATGGCAGTTTGCATCTAATGTGTTTCAATAAAACTGCTACACATTCTGTTAAACAATTTTCATATACTTTCCGCCTTGCCAGGACATATGACCACTGTTTTATCGCCTGCGTCTAGCACGGGGAAATGGAGACTTTTGTCAACAATGACACAGACGTCCATGTTTGATTCCTGATTGGCTCTTATTAGTTATTAGATATCCATTCCTGATCTGTCACGTCTATATCGTGACTCTAAAGCTAAGAAACCAGCCCTCTTCTTCCTGTTTATCCCAGCATGTGAAGGCCCAGTGTACATGAAGGTTAGTGTGATAAACAATTACAGCACGGATTCCATATCTGAAACGTTTCTAAAACACTCATCTGAATGGATCACTGTGTTAGTTTGGCATTTGCATCCCAAAACAAAAGCTTATATTTAAGTCAAAACAAACGGTCAAAGGCAGCTCGAGATAACATTCTATTGTCTTAATATTTTATGGTTTAAATAATTTTAGCTTTTAATCAGCACTTGTGTTTCTTTTTGCTTCTTGTACAGTCGAGAATCGTATACTCTATGAACACACTGGCTTTTTTGTGCACATTTTCACAAGTTTAAATAATTGCACTTCCAACTTGAAGTGTACTTTAAGTAAACAAGCTTGAGCGATACTATTTGTAAACTTCTCACTATGTGGTGTTTGAGCCTCCCTCCATCCCTCTCTTGCCCTTTCATCTTTCTTATTTCAATATGTAATGCAGTTATGGATGTGAAATATTGCTGGCAGACATGAAAACACATCACAAGCCACTGCTTTGCTGCATCCATAATGATGAAATGAAATCATCTTCTGAGGGATATCACCAACTGCTCACTAACACAGTGATCACAGAGTCAGATAGCTTGCATTGTGTGAGGTTTCACAATCTCATTTCACAGCCTAAAGCAGGATATTGTATATTTATGTACGATGCTTGTGGGTCGAAATGCTGTATGTCCTGGTTTGCGTTCAAGTCCGACTTCACACATAGTGGTAACAGCAAGTGTATTTTTAAAATACACATGCATAAGTCTCCTCTATATATAAAAAATCTGGGAGAATTTGCTATATGATTTCAAGTGTGTAGTCTGTCATAAAATAATATAAAGGAAGGCAAAGAGCTCCAAACAAAATAGCATGATTTAACTTGTAGTGCACTAAAAATACGTTACTGCACATTTACGCCTCGATTGATTTCAACATGCATCATTTCGTTTGCTTGCAATAAGATTACAGATAACAACAAAACATACACAAATTCAAGACATGCACACATATGCATGCACATTATACAGTATATCTAACTGCTGTATTGGATGTTATTTGTGGCTTCAATGTCATATTGGTATGTTTGTATCGACTGAAGGAATCCCCTCAGGAAACTCACTTGTATTAGTTTAACTGAAAAATGTCTCGTTCTGCCTAAACCTCCACAATTATGACAACAAATTCTACATAAGAACATGACTGCCCACTGACAAACAAACAGAATCAGGACAATCTTACAATGTAACAGTTTTTTTAAAAACTTTTGGGCAGCATTGTCTTTGAAGAAAGCTTTTTGTCCCACGCTACGGATCTCCCTCTATTTTGGTTTAGCAGCAAAATCCGACCAAAACTAATAGTCCACAGCTAAAGTGGCTGCAGAAAATTGAATTGGGCCTTGAGGATATTGGTGTAATAAAAAAAAAAAAGCAAAAAATACTACCAGTCAGCTTGACCTGTCATCATCTGTCTTTCCAGCGCAGCTAGCAACGCCGCTGGCCAGCTAGCGGTGGAACCCTGAGCCTCTAATTTGCTCTGATTGCGTTTCCTCACCAGAGGGCTCATAGGTACGTGTGCGTTTTACTAGCAATGTCCTCTGTGCAAATATACAGATACGTGATTTTGTCAGACCAATAAGTGGCTTTCAAATCTTGGAGGTGGAGAGAAAATGAACCAGTTTATTTTCTACAGAATGGGCACTCCACAAAGCACCCTGGCAAGTGTAGTGAGAGTTTAAAAGTCAGTAAAGTGTTGGCACTCTGCTCTTGCCATCCCGCAGCCAATAAAGGACTAATAATTGAATAGCAGAGCAAGTCACAACAGAGAATAATGTCAGACAGGATTCTCCAAGGTGAGGCTGCCGCAGGCTGGAACCAAAGGCGACAGATGGCTCTGTGCAGTGCAACAGTTTAAATTCGGCTGTCGGCAAACATCAATGAAACCCATGAGGTAATGTGAAAAATTGCTTATGTCAGGTGTTTTTGCGCTCTCAGAGGATCCCAAATATTAGAACAACAAAACAAACAATAGCTCAAGACGCCGCATGAATCAGTGAGCGCAGACAAGATGTGTACAGAAGTGTCCACCTCTGCAGGAGTGCAAACACGCTGTGATTTGAGATCAGGTAACCATTTTTATCCTCATTATTATTATTATTATTGTTATTATTTCATCTTCTTCTTCAAACAACTGTTCTTTTCCTGATGTGCAGTGCAAAAACAAACCACGATAGTTCCTTGCAGAAATATTTTTGGTAATTTCTTTGCGTGCACATTAAAGAGTGTGTTCTTGTGTGTGTGCCAGGTGAAGCATAGGCAGCTGCCAGTGTGTACAGAGGACCAGTCTGCACAGAACAGCCATACCTTTACACTACTTACCCACGCCTCATCACACTCACCCACACATGAAGACACACAGCGCGCACACTAAGTTAGATAAAGAGATGAGGAGGGAGAGCAAAAAATCTACTCAGTGCTGCTGGGTTTTCTTGCCTTCAAACGGAATGGAAAAAAACTAAAACATCAGTAGTACACAAATGTAAATGAAGCCAATTGTTAATCCACTCATTCTCCATGGCTTCATGATAATATTCCTGTTTGGCTGTTTGAAAAACCCTTTCGAAATTTGATTTAGGATATTGTATCACTGACTTGTTTTGACAGGAAAATCTGATGACATTAACAGGTAACAGGAGACAGAGTGGCCTCAATCTGTTTGTCATCTACATCACCGAAAACAACCAGATGTAACATGACAAACGGTTCATCTCCTCGGTCCTGCATGGCTTTACACTACAAATGTTACATATTTTTAGCACATCTGGCTCCAGCGGGACTGGCAGTCCTGGCACGCTGTCTCCGATTCGCACAAAGGGAACCGGGGACGTGTTTTCTGCCGGCTGCAACTGATGGTGAAGATGAGCGGAGCTGACACTTTGAGCAGCCATTTGGCTTGTCAGGTGCGTTCGTTCCACATCGGGGCACACAAAGTCACACACATTTACTGCTTAGTTGACCAATCGTGATGAAAAAGAACCAGAGGACGCAGGAGATAGATTAGACAGCTGATCTGCCTATTTGCACCATTAGGATTGAGAATGTTGGATAAATACCAACATGCTGATTAGATAATGAAATATTTAGAGTATTTACTCCAGATCAGACCTGAATCAATGTATTGACAAACATATTGACAAACAAGTGATGTCAATACATGAAGGTGGAATTTCAGATGTTGTGATATGCAATTTCGTCTTTCTTTTTTTTTTTTTAACATTTTCTAGAAAATGCAAATCATCAGTTATTTACAAAAACAGCAGGTTTCTGACACAATCTCTTTGAGCCTGACACTATCACACACAAAAAACAGACGTAAAAACAAAATTAAAGCTTTCTCATGGGGAATCCAAGGAAATTATTTATTGGATTTTCATGTATACTTCTGTAAAGTTCTAACTTTAGTTCTTAATTAGTCAGGCTAATCTCCATCATTAACAATACTGTAGTTTTAATATTTACTATAGTCAGGTCAGGTTAAGTTTTATTTTATTATAAATATTTTTGAAGTATTTTAATACACAATATTTAAATTGCTCTGGTAAATTCACACCATAAATAGCCCTAACGCCAATGTTATTTCTCTAATGGAAAACACTTTGGCGCAGCTTTAAACGTGCCGTATAAAAAACAGTGTGCTGACTCTAATCTATGAAAATAAATGTGACTTGTGCAGCTGTGGAACTGCACACAGATCTGTGTATGTACATATAAATAAGGCCAAACGTGTGCACTTCTTGGTGCATGCAGGTGTGTGTAGTGGATCTGGTGGCGGTGTTGCCTTGACTACCGGAGTGTGAAGGTATGGTGGTGTCCAACATCAAGTCTGCTTCTTATGGATGTACAATACACACACGCGCGCGCGCGCACGCACATGGAGCCTCTGCGACAGCAACGCTCGTGGCAAAATGAAAACACCTGAGTCGTGACGAGGTTACGAAACGGCCTGGGGGAGCGCAGAACCGGGTTACGGTTAAACATTTAAAACCGTCGTTCAAAAGCAAAACACGAAACACGGAAGGACGGACAGTCAAAGTCGAGTCAGCGGGTCGCTTTGAAATACTCACGCTCTTCTTCCGCAGGTGCAGCCCGTGCTTGAGGAGCCCCGGCAGGTCCCGGATTTTGTGTTTGAGCTGAGCCTGGTCCCGTGCGCTCCGGTTCCACCGCAAGCCCGCGAGCAAGCCGTCCTCTGCGGGCTCCGAGTCCTCCATGGTTCTCCCCCTCCTTTTTCCTCCCGTCTGCGGTCGAGCTGCCTCCTTCTCCTCCCGCGCTCCCGGTTGTCTACTGTATCCTCACAAGGCGCACCGCCGCCGCCCGCGCCCGTTCGCCATTTCCCCCCGCCTCGCGCTCACACTCTGCGACCTGCATCTGCAAGCACACCGCGCGCAGCTACTGAGTGTATTCCGCAGCACGCGACGCTGCTGCTCCACCCAATGGCTCCTACTCCTCCAGCACTACCAGGTTGATCAGTGCGTGTTGGGGGTTGGTGGGGGTCACAGGTGCATAGAAACATTGCATCACTGCCACCTTTTCATTCTCCAACACCTCCGAGGATAAAGGTGTATTTAACCCCCACATGAGCCGCCGCGCCGGTGCGGCTGTTTAAAACTGTTTATTTGTGTTAGAAGTTGAACATTTCACACAACAAAAGAAGGACAGCTCGTCCCTGGGGGAGGGAGGAAAGAGACAAGGAGCAGAAGGCACCCGGTAGGGCTACGTCACCACATTACCTGGCTCAAATTTCCATAGGTAAACAAAGAGCAGCCACACAGTGTTGCTCTGTGTTTGTGTGGCTGCATTCAGGAGCCCATTTTTCTGGTTCCAAGCTGTATTTCCTCCTGACAGTGTGTGGAGCCAGTTTAACCTGAACACGAAGCACCAGAGTCTCAACTGTGTGCTGAGGAAGATGAGAAAGTGTGTCTCTCATGTAAATGGTCCACACTGATATGGCGCCTTTTAATCTTAGCTACATTCTACAAAGCGCTTCACAAGGTGACTCTGATTCACTAGTTCACACACACACACCTGTACAAGTTGCTACCACTGGGAGTGACTTTGGGTTTCCCAAGGACACTTCAAGCCTTGGAGGGAGATAGGGATCGAACGATTTAAACAGTTTTCTCTTCTTTTGTTAGCAGCAGCAGTGTATTTATGTTTGCACAACACACAGGTTATTGTGTTGGTTTAAACTAAGCTGATATCATCCCCAGTATGAGTTCTTCTGTCAGCTGCTATGTGAGGAGGAAGTGCACTGAAAAAATATCAAATACCGATTTCTCCTTTTTAAGACATGACATGTCCAACACTGCTGGCTTCCATCACTCCTAAAGGTGGTTTTGTTTTGGGTCTTTATGTGTGTTCTGTGCATGTTCCTTACTTTGCAGTGCAATCAGAAATACTGAGCTCCCAAAGTCCCTCAAGTCAAGTGACTGCCAAGTTCTTGATGTGCAGACACGTGGCAGACAAAAGCAAGTGTTTGGTTGATGCTGAAGTCCCATTCTGCATATTGTTTTTTCTAACATTTAATTTGAGTTGTAGCATATGGTTGTAAACAGTAGTCGCTGTCCATGTAGAGTGACCTAGATTAGCTAGGAAAGTTATTTATTGGCAGAAACCCTGATAACAAGTCAGATAAAGTACTAATATAGGCCTATCAAACAACATGGTGATATTGTAGTGTCCATGCTGGTTACATATTCCGACACAAAATCTCGTGAACACACTAAAGTAGGAAGAATGACTTTGCAACTTGGCAAGTTGAACCAGAAAGACTTACTTCCGCTGTATGTGAGCAGCGAGTTGGAAAATGATGACAGCAAAGGACAACTGTGCTCTCAGATCTTTAACTGACTGTATCACCGATAGATTCTAACATTTATTTTACCAATGAAGCCTTGAAAGTCATGGACCCTCACTCCTGCTGCTAAGCTGAGGCCTTTCTGTGGACTCACTCCAAAGGCGTGCGATGTAGGTTAACTGATAATCCCAAATTAGCTGTTGGTGTGAGCGTGCGTGTCGTCTGTCTGTTTGTGTTAGCCCTACGATGGACTGGAAACCCCTTCAGGATGCCCAGTGTCAGCTGCAGTAGGCTCTAGCCCGCCACAGGATAAAGCAGGTATCGCGAATAAAAGCATAGATTCCAGATTGCATTACGTAGTTTGTCCAGCAGAGAGCAGTGACAAGTGTATTTTCCCAATGTGTAATGTCCCTCCACTCTAAAATATAATGCTTTGGCACAAAACAAAACAAATTAATTAATTTTTGTATTATGACAACTTTTAATGAAATTCTGTTCATCCAACGACCTACGTTGTGGGATTAGCTTTTCCTCTACAATCAAAGGTATTTTTTAAATTCCCAGTTTTAACCATTTGACCTTGACATGTTAAGATACAGGAGAACATTTGAAATCCTGAACTTAAAAAGCCTATTTAATTTCTTACGTAATGCACTAACTTTAGTTCAAATTACACACACTCAAAAGTTGATGCCATTACAGACATTACTATATGTCAGCATAACCCATCAAAATAATGTTTGCAACTTTAAGGGTTCACCAATATCAGAAAATAAATCTTTTATCTCACCATCTTGTATTTGATTAAGTGGCGGAAACAGGTAACTTTGTTTACTTTTTACAGTGTCTCTGTGAGGATCAGAAGCAATACTCTTTACATCCATCTATTATCTATACGCCGCTTAATCCTCACCAGGGTCGCGGGGGGGCTGGAGTCTATCCCAACTGACTCAGGGTGAAGGCAGGAGACACCCTGGACAGGTCACCAGTCTATCACAGGGCTACACTTAGAGACAAACAACCAAGCACACTCACATTCACACCTACGGACAATTTAGAATCACCAATTAACCTCAACATGTTTTTGGACCTTGTGGGAGGAAGCAGGAGAACCCGGAGAGAACCCACGCTGCACGGGGAGAACATGCAAACTCCACACAGAAAGATTCCGGTGCCCCCACCGGGACGCGAAACCGGCAACCTTCTTGATGCGAGGCAACAGTGCTAACCAACTGCGCCACCCTGCAGCTGCAGTGAACCAAGCAAACGTTTTTCTGAAAAAATACAATACCTGGGAAATAACATTTCCTGATGTGCTGAAGATATTTCTTCAAACTTCGCAGGCACTTGCAAAAAGTTGGTGCAGCACAAACAAGAAATTAAAATCTTTCAATGTGGAAAATTACATTTGTTTCATATTTTCATACAGACCGTGTGTATGTTTTCTTTTGTAGCAAATTGAACGAGACACGTCATTTGAAGGAAACACATTTGCAACTTGGGGAAACGGGCTAAATGACCTCTTTATTATGCACTGAACAAAACATCATTAGAGCAGCACTGGGTGTTATTGAAAGATTTTTTTTCTAAATCACAGTTTATCTTTCAGAAAAAAAAATCTTAGCTGTGTGATGAGCACATGAGGGACACACACTGAAGCGTTTTTATTTTTTTATTTTTACAGGAGCACAATACTCTACCAAATCCCAAGCAATGTGCAACAGCCTACATAACGTATTCAGAATATTTTACATTTTCTCTTTCGCTATAGTGGGTGAGAAACCTTTTCACATTCTGAATTCAAGAGTAAAATAATGTGTGCAGTTCCTTTGCATTATAATAAAAAGGATTTAATTTCGTCGCTTCATGCAACACACATGTAGTCAATGCAAACGGGAAGCGTGTATTTTCCTTCTGTCCCATCTTTGTGGTTTTATGTGCAGTGAATGAGTCACGGGACAAGAGAAGATTCAATATATGGCTTGAAAAAGAACAAGATTTTCTAAGGGAATTGTTGAACATGCAATAATTTGATTAAAGAATTCAAATGAATGTGACATAAAAGAGAATTAATTTGAATTCAGTAGATCTGAGAGGATCTGGGCCCGATACTCTACAGGACATAAAGCCGAGCGGAGTTCAGCTTGAGTGCAGCGGGTTCAGTTGTATAACTCAGATGTCGAGCCTGCTTCTCGATAGGACTTGTAATCTGGGATAATTGGCCCCTTTCAGGGACTCAGATTATACCAACACCATCGCTGTCAGAGGTAATGGGCCAGCATGTATAGTGTTTGGCAGCTGAATAGCATAGACACACACACACACAAAAAAAAACTCCAGATTTTTGTTTTGATCAAAAGACCACAGTAAAAATTTCATCCATTTACATGTCAAACCCAAGTTGGGAGCTGTTTTTCCCCCTAGATGAGGGAAAAAAACAGTGTTGTGTTGTGTTAGACTGACACAAATATGATGGAATACCCACTGTCTCTATCATGCACGATGCTCACGATGCTCTGTTAGCTTTCCTGTGGCAATCCTGAACTTTAAATATGAAGAAAAAAAATGACGGTTCATACACAAGTGACACAACCTGCAGCACAGCATAGATCTCAGATGGAGGCAGATCATCAAAGCCTTCCATCCCATAAGGGAGCAAAATGACTGTAAGGAGGTACGCAATCAAGGTGAAGATGCAGGAAAGTTTTACTCTCCACGGGCCCCTGTGATCGCTTCATTTAAAGTTATCCATCTGAACTCGACAGAACTGTTGTCGCTTAATGCCTGCAAGTGTCGAAACTGAATTAAATGAGGGTGGCGCGATGCTGCAGGTATATTAAGACTGACAGTACTTTCTACGGCACTGGATCTTTGAATAAATGGAAAAGGATGTCAGCTGAAAATGCTGTGTGATTAGCTACTCGTACGCTGGTAATGAGAATAGGTCTGTTCCCTGCGAGGACGGTGCAGTCAATAGAAACCTGCCAAGTTGTTTTTTTTGTGTTTTTTTAAATCTATTGTGTTTACAAATCTATCATGTTGCGAAAATGTCAGGAAAAGTGCATAAGAAGAGGATAAAGCATTGATAGCTGTTAAAGCTCTCCCAAACTTTGTTCGATAGCATTAAAAATTCAAGACAGTAAGGATATATATTATCTGTATTGATCATTTAACTGTGATTTTTAAATCTGGACTTTATAGGTTTTGTTTGATCAGATTTGAAGCAAACAAATCCTAATTGGTGGGTGAAAATACATCTTTTTGTAATGATCTTTGTCCATCGTGAACCAATGAACAAAGGCATGAGGTAGGCCTTTCCCAGTCTTCTCTGCCACGCCGCCATGCACTCCTGGAAGGATTCTTCTGGGATCCTCCACAGCTCCGTCGTCACAGCCATCTTGATGTCGTCCACGT